GTTATTTCGGAAGCTCCAAAACCGGAGAGCACAACATATGCCAATCCCACATGTGTTCAAGGTTTCCCCGAAGCCCCGAAGCTCGAGATTGAAAACCCGACCCTTCCCCCTATTACCATTTCCGAAGTTCCTCCTATCCATCGAGCAAAATTAGAGAACCCGCTCAAGAAGCAGCGCCCTAGTGGTGGTGGTTATGAGCTTTCCCGTAAGCTTGGTGGGCGGAAGCAAGGAGAGCGAAAGTGTGACCAGACAAAGTCCAAGCGGGGAAAGATCTGGGGTGCTAATAGCACTGCAATGGAGGACGAGATCCAACGTTATTTCACGTGAGTACACAGTCCTCTTTCTGAAAAACTGCGATATAGTGTCGCATTGCCTGGTATCCCAGGGCTCTATCAGCCGAATCGGGTTAGGTGAAGCTACGAAAGGCAGGAAGATTTGCGATATTAGCGGACCCAAATAATGGACATTAATGATTTATGCTAACGGATCTTCACAGTAGTGAAGAGTCTGAGGAGAATTTGATAGACGGTGGGAGCACTCTCGCCATCCTCAACACCGCTAGCGCCACCCCGGAAGCTCCAAGACAGGAGAGCACGCCACCTGCTGGTGCTGCTATCGCTCGAATTGCCTCTGAGGAGCCAACGCTGGAGGATACGGCGCCCGCCAATACGACATGTGTTTTTGACGCCGCCGGCGTATTTTCAGATCCATATACCCGGCAAGCCAAATTAGAGAACCCTCTTAGGAAGCGGCGCCCTAGCCTCACGCTTTATAACCTTTATCGTAGATTGGATGGATATAAGCGTGGAAACCGAAAGCACCGCCAGGCGAGGAAGCTTTCAATCAGAGACTTCGATACATTTCACACCAAGAGAGCGGAGGAGGCCCTACTTGAATTGATGTATGTACCTAATCCCCTTTCTGGAATCTGATATGCCCACCCGAGACACACTGTGATGTGTGCTAATGAGTCTCCTCATAGCAGTGAGGAATCTGGGCGTCGTTCAGCAGATGACAAGGGGGCGCATGTAACTCCCGACGCCTCTTGTACTGTTTCCAGAACACCCACCAATACCCTCAGAGGGAGTAGCTTGCGACGCAAAAGGGTAAGGCAGATCCTCTCCAGAATCATTTATTAGAGTGGCAGCGCCCACGTGTAAAGACAGGGGCCGGGGGTCGAAAACCACGGAGAGCCTAAGAAAAGCAAAGAATATCTATGACAAGGGCTTTCTTTTCTCGGCAATATCTCCCGGGATTTCTGGCTCCCAACTACTAGCTTTCCGTTCTGGATGGGATGGCGTCACGTTTTCGCATTTGCTGTATTGGGTTTACTAACGATTTTTGTTTCTCAAATTGCTTATAGGTCCGTATTTCCACCTTTGCTCCTCGAAATCGCCAGTGGAATGCCGAGAGGGCGAAGAAGATCTCTGCCAAGTCTCGCTACAATGGCCGGTATACCGTTCAGAGGGCTGTCGAAGTTGACTGGCGACGTGGAAAGAGAGTTCGGGTCCGGATTCGCAGGATTTTGAAGACGTTTTCGAGCGACGCGACGGTCCTGGACCAGAGGCTTGACGACATGGATTTGGACGAAGATACGGTTGTGTTGAGGCAGAGTGTTGAAATCCAGCTTGCGGACGAAGATGTGCTGATGTCTGACTGGGACTCTGACTCCATAGCTGTTGAGGGAGCTGTGGCGAGGCAGGAGGAGAGCCTTGTCGATCTAACCGGTGAGGCAGATGTACCGGCCCGGCAAAATCACGAGAGTGCTGAGCTCCACGAAAGTGTCGAGCCTCACGCGAGTGACGAGCTCCACGAAAGTGTCGAGCCTCACGCGAATAACGAGCTCCACGAAAGTGTCGAGCCTCACGCGAGTGACGAGCTCCACGAAAGCGTCAAGTTCTACGAAAGTGCCGAGCTCTTCGCAAGTGAGTTAGCGAGATATGCGGGAACGGCAATGTCAATGTCACAGATCTCGGAGTACAAAATGCCACAGGGGAGCGAGCACCTGACAGCACGTTGGAGGGAGAATTTGAAAATAAAGAGGGTAAGTTTAATTCTCTCTCTCTCCATAAAGATTCGACTTGCCAGTGGAACTAACATTCCATTAGATTACTCAACGGCAGACTCGATTCTCTTCTAAATTTTCCAAATTGGAGTCCAACCACCGCAGACACAAATCTACTCTTCCCAAGAAGCCCCTTCCTAAGCTTCGCCAGAAATCTCATTACTCTGCTCAAAGGGTCTTTGATATCCACCAGCGAAATAGGGAGAAGGTTAAGGCCCGAATGAAGAGGATGTGGAAGGGCTTGCAGACTATAACACCAGAGAGTCATGGTTGCAAAGCGAATGGCGTGCCAAGTTCCGACTCCGGCAAATCACCGGAAGCTGAGAATTGCCCATCGGTTTCCCTTAACTCGGAGGCACCGGATAAGACAATGAAGGAGATTCCGTCTCCCGCGGCCCGCGCGAGAGAAGAAAACCTAATAGCAAACAATTCCCGCAAGGTACCCGCTGGGCTAGAGTTGGATTACAATTCGGATGAAGATGAAGAGGAGAATAGGGTGAAACCAAAGGAAATGGAAACGAATGACACCACATCCTTTGAACCCCGCGGATTTGCTTTACTATCCACTAGAATGGCAATGGAGATGAATGATTTGAGCGACATCACAACCTCTGAGCCAGAAGTCCCTACCTCACTATCAGCCGGAGTGGAAATGGAAACGGAGAGCTTGAGCGACATCACAGCTTCTGAGATAAAAGCCCCTACCTTGCCTTCGGCCGGAATGAGAATGGGGACGGAGAACATGAGCGATATCAGAGCCTCTGAGCCAGAAGTCCCTGCCTCATCATCAGCCGGAATGGGAATGGAGACGGAGAGCTTGAACGACATCACAGTTTCTGAGCTTAAAGCCCCTACCTCGCCGTCGGCCGGAATGAGAATGGGGACTGAGAAAGTGAGCGATATCGGAGCCTCTAAGCCAGAAGTCCCTACCTCACCATTAGCCGGAATGGAAATGGAGACAAAGAGCTTGAGCGACATCACAGCTTCTGAACTAAAGGCCCCTACCTCGCTGTCGGCCGGAATGGGAATGGAGACGGGAAGCTTGGGCGACATTACAACTTCTAAGCCAAAAGCCCCCACCTTACCGCCTGCCGGAATCGACCCGGAGACGGATGAGGAGGAAGAACTGGAATTGCCAGAACCCACAGTGCCTACAACCCCCTTCGGCTCCTCTGCCCCCATCAAAAACCCGCTGGTATACAGAGTGGGGCGCAAGGACTTCAGATGGAAGCACGAAAAGAAGTCTTCCATTGGTAGCCCATCCGAGGCACAGCCAAAGTGGGCGATAGGCTCCGGCCCAGGAAGCACTATTAACGGAACTCTCTCATCATTTGTCGTCCCTCCCAAAGGACCTGCCACCAACGCCTGGGGCGCGACTAAAAGCTCTATGCCTCCCGATTTCTTGGATCCTGAAGACGACTTCACGGATATCTTCCGCCCCATTCCTATCGGCTCGAAACCTTTCATTTTCCGAGATCACATCGGAGAAGGGAAACCAAAGCCTAGGGATCCCATCCCAAGGGCCCCGAAATCGGCTTCGGCACCAGCACCTCGCGAACGGGTTTCCATTTGTCCCCCCGTTGGAGCTATCCATAAGGGAGTCAAATGGTCTAAGAACATGCCCGATCATTTTAATACCCCCTGTGATCCCAAAGTTCCAAACCCACCCATGCCAGCTCCGGGTATGTCCCCCGTCAACCAGAAACCTGCTCCTGTGGAACCAGAAGTTCAATTGTCAGAATTCGGCTGTACTGGCGTTGGCACCAAAAGGCTTGAACAAGCACCCACCACCCTCGCAGAACAATCAGAATCAGAGAGAAAGGGGAAAAGGAACGCCGTGATTGCGGGGCTATATCCCGCCCCTAAAGAGAATCCGAAGGAGCTGATTGAGAAGGGGGAGAAATTGCAGAATAAGGGGGCAGTGAGGGATATTAGACCTCTCAGGGCGAGGAGAATTTGATTCAAGTGGGAGTCTTTGTTCCGGGTCGATTTGTTTTTCAAGTATCCCTATTTCATTTTAAAATTTTATTATTATTAATCACAATTGCTATTCTTATTCTTATTCTTACAAATGTTTTAATCGACCCAATGTTGTTATACTCTCCACTCAATGTACTATAAAAAAATAAATTGTTTTTTTATTCTCTGGTTCAGTTTGGTGCGCGCCCTGCTTGGGCCCATGGGGCACCGCAAAGTGAGGTGCGATATTGGTATTGTTTGTATCATACTATAGTATCATATCGTGCACCACGTCAACCCACCCCTCGATGCTGACACGGGTACTTCACTATGCTCCCCCCTCTGCGCTCTACCCTCTTCAGATTGGGGTCCTAGGCATTTAATGTTTCTGTTTAACGGAGGTATTCTCGACGTCGAACGCGCAAGAGTTCTGTCACAATATTATCACATCAATAAAAAGTAGTCTATTTATTTTATTTTACTATTATTCTACATACAGAAAACCTACTAGATTATGATACCCTCTATGCGTTCTCACCCACCACCATTCCTCAGCTCCGAGCCATCGCACATTCCCATCAATTTTTGGCCGAAAATCATCCGAGTGAGCATCTGTGATTCGAACATTTAACGCGAGTGACCGGGAGTGATTGGCAAGCTGCGGGGAAGGAAAGTCGTCTATGATGCTCGAGAAAAAGGGTTTTGCGCTTCTAAAAATAGAGGTACGCTAAGGGTTTGAATGTCTATCTTTGCCCATATTGTTCCCGAGCTCTTGCACAGAAATCTGTACTCCTCTGTAAAATGTTTTGTATCATAAGTGGATGATCTGCTCGTCCGATACAGTTGACTACCCAATATCATAGCTCCGTTAGCCCCCCCCCTCAGTGAGTTTGTCCGCTTACAACGCGGCAAACTTTTGGTGGAGGGGGGAGGCATCACATAGCTCATGGCACCTTTAATTTGGGCTGTTAGAAAATGTCGCAAGGTCATAGGTTCGCTGTGTTTCTCCTATGATGATATACATAGGATCCCATGCTTGTGAACGGCTCGCAGACCCCACCGTCGTTCCTCACAAGTCCATAAGCTCCCTCGGAACCACATATGGCACCTGCCCCTTCTTCGCCCCTTTCTCTCTCCTCTCCCCATATGATACCTCCTCTACAGACTTTTTTCTCCGTCTCCATCCACTCTGAAACCCCACCACCACGGCCACATAACCACCGTCTCTTTTTTTCCTCATTATATCTTCCGGTCATATACCTGAAACTCACTCTTCTTCAACCCTTCCTTCCTCCCAATTTCACTTGCCAACACCGTTCTTTACTCCACCCTTGATCCCCCTTTCCTCCCATTCCGGCAACTGACAAAGGTGTGATACTGGAAACCCCATCCTTTTCCGCCTCAATTAATGTCGACTGCCAGGGTCCAGATATTGCCCAGATTCCGCCTAGTCCCGATATACTGGCCGTGACAGAAAGTCCGCACCCGACTTTTACGCGCGCCCAATCAACCGCTACATGGCATCTTGCTTGAAAGAGTTACATTTATCCCCCAAAACTTCCATAGGAAGCGCTCCCTCCAGAGATACCGTACCAGAATTATGAGCGGTAACCGTCAACTGAATTTGCCTATTGTTAAGGCTACCGGAAGAGCGTCTCCCGTGTTGTCGCCGGCAGATATAACTCGGGGGCAAGGTTGTCTATTCCGGTAAGTGTTTAGCTGGAGGGTCTGGATCTCATCTTCATTTGGCTAACCGGGCCGCCGCTCGTGCACTTACTCCCGGCAGGGGTGGAAAAGCTCGGAGAGATTTATCGTTCACCAGTGGTGTAGATTGGCGATCCTTTGATGATTGAAAACTGTCATCTAGAGGGGCAGATAGCCTGGCCATTCATTTAAGAATGTGTAATTGGAGAATAATTATTCGAGGCAACATAATCTCTGTCCATTTCTCCTTTCCTTCCCTCCTCTCACCGCACCCCTTAGCGGTAACCAATCCGGCAAATATTTAACCCAATTTCTTCTCACAGGCGCACAAGCTCGAGACCTTGCTAGGGGTGTTGATGGTGAGTGGTTGCTCCGACAAATTAACGCAAGCGCCTAGCCCGCCCGTCTCTAAGTCCCACGGGGCGGACGGGCGGGTCCTATTGGTGTCGCCCATTGCCGAACCTACCTGTTCCCTGTAGGCGACGAGCGGGGACTGCAGGGCCCTCAACATCATCGGCGGGAGTTACCAATAGCTAAATTACTGTGGGGGCCTGCAGCCATCTCTTAGATGGCTGTCCTTCTAGAGGTCGGATGCTCTTTCCTGCTGCGCAAAAGTGAAAGCCTCTCTGCGTCTGCAGGGTGACCTGAGTTCTTGGGATCATCGATCACTCGAATGGCATTACAGTAAACTATACGTTAGTAACCGTGAAATATTATCCCGTATCCACCCTGGCAAATTAAAGCGACTTTTTCGGTTTTCGTACCATATGCGCTCGGCCACTCAAAAGTGCATAGAACCCACGTAGACTAACGGTGTGGCTAATTCGGGAGAACGAATTATATACACAATCGCCTACAACCAAGCAAATAAAAAAGCACACATTTAGAACCAACCGGCACCCTCAATTTGTCTCCTGTGTTGAGAGCCTGCTGGCTAAGCTCCCTCCTCTCCACGCATACTTTGGATCTTGAACGTTTTTGAGCTTCTTCTCCTCATCGGGCTTGCCATAGCCTCCGCCGCCGGGAGTATGGACGACGATCCTCTCTCCAGGTTTCATCGCAGCGGTATTCTTTCCCCCAAGATTAATTGGACGTTGGTCTTTATCACGAATCCAGAGATTGAGCCCGCACTCGGCCTCTCCACCGCCGCCCATTCCATATGGGTGGTAGACTCTCCGCTCTGAAAGGATGGAGACTTGAACTGGAATTCGGAATTCGATGTCTCTAATCACTCCATCACCGCCAAGATGTGCACCGATACCGCCAGAACCCTTGCGAATAGAAAATTCACGGAGGATGACAGGGTATCGGCGCTCAAAGACTTCAGCATCAGTGATGCGGGTGTTTGTCATATGTGTATGAACCCCTGAGGTTCCGTCCCAATCAGGTCCCTATGAGATTGGTCAATCGCGAACCGGAACACTGTAATAATGAAACTTACTGCTCCGCTACCACCTGCAATTGTCTCATAGTAGCCAAATCCCTTGACATGGTCGCCGCCATCTTGGCTTCCGCCATATCCGAACGTAAGATTGTTGCAATCACCTTGACTGGCTGCGCATGCTTGGAACGCTTTTAAAACCACATCTGTAATGCGTTGACTCTATTCACGGGGATTGATTAGTGACGAAAGAAGAGTTAAAGTAGGAAACATACCGTCAGGACATTCCCACCAACAACCGCTGCACCGTCACTCGGGCTTAGGAATGAATGCCTTGGAATCTTAACATGCACTGGCTTCAAGCACCCTTGGTTCAGAGGAATGTCCTCCGAGATCAAGCACCGCAGACAGTAGATAATGGCCGAGTAAGTGACTGCCTCAGGAGCATTCATATTCCCATACATCTCCGGCCCAGTACCCTGAAAGTCGAATTCCGCCTCTCCCTTCTGGGGGTCTATATCAACCCTGAGGCAAATCGGACTTCCGTCATCCATGTGCTCTGTCGCTACTAGTTCTTTGCCCTCAAATCGCTTGTAAACGCTCTTCAGCAAATTCCTCACAGAAGTCTCAGCGTTGTTCTGGATGGAGGTCATGTAGAATTGGACAACGCCCTCGCCGTAGTCCTCTATTAGTGTTGAAATTAGGTTGATTCCCTTCTGGTTCGCCGCCACCTGAGCCTTGAGGTCATTGATATTGTCCGCAAGGCATCTTGTACCGCTGCATCCAGGATACTGCGCAGGCTCCTCGAGAAGAAGCTCTGTTATTCGCTCCTCATCAAAGTGGCCCTCAGATACCAACTTTTCCGACTTGATAGCTGCACCCTCCTGATAGAGCTCGCGAGAGTGAGGCGGCATGGAGCCAGGGAGAATACCGCCAATATCCGCATGGTGGGCTCTCGATGCCACATAAAAAATAATATTATCGCCACTAAATGCGGGGGTGATAACTGTGATATCTGGCAGATGGGTACCCCCAAACTCAGGATGATTCGACACAAGAACATCACCCCTCTTGAGCCTGCCTTTCCAGATAGCCGCCTGGGTTCTGACGCACGTCGACATACTACCCAAATGGACAGGCAAGTGGGGAGCTAAAACAATTAGCGAGAGGATTTATAACAAGGAAGAAATACCCACCATTGGCAACCAATCCACCATTTTCATCGAATAAGGCACAACTGTAGTCCAGTCTCTCCTTAACGTTGGTACTGACACTGGTCTTTTGCAAAGCTCTACCCATCTGTTCGGCAATTGCCATAAACCTATGTGCAAAGATACTCAACATGATAGGATCTACCTCCTTCATACTTATCTTTCGTAGTCCCGCCCGTTGCTCGTCCGCGTCACCAAGGTTAATAACCACATGGGTTTCAATAACCAGCGCCGTGGCTCCCGGAGTAACCACAATAGTCTGCGTCCCATCAGCCAATATGGCGGGTCCTTGAACCTTCTCACCAACAGCCAAATCACTGAGCCGATAGAGTGGAGTTTCCCGCCGGCCACCCTCAAAGTACACATTCTTCATACTATGACGTTTTGACTGATCAACTGGGGTAGGCTCGATCGTTTTCAATTGTTGATCGACGGTTTTCTCTAGCCCCCGGAAGCTCTTCCCGATCCCTCTAACACGAATATCATCCACGATGATGTCTCGGTTAGGGAGTGTAAAGCCAAATTCTTTTTCATGCTGCCTCACGAAAGCTTCGCCGAATTCATGCTCTTCGCCATCAAATTCCTCCTTCTGGGGGCGGACAACCATGAGGGCCGACTCAGTTCCACGATATCGCATGTTGAGGTATTCTTCATGAACAATGTCCTGCTCGTCAAAACCTTGCTCAAGCAGGACGCCAGCTGCCTTTCCCTTCAACTCTTCAAGTCTGCTAACCAAGCCGGCCTTCTGCTCCTTGCCAAACACGGCGGAGCTGGGTTCCTGGACTTCATGAACAACGTCCGCCAACGCCATTCCATAGGCCGACAACACGGAAGAGTATTTGTGGATCAGAATTTGGCGGATACCCAAGCTTTCCGCGATTGCAACAGCATGCTGCCCCCCTGCACCCCCGAACGTGGAAAGCCTATGAACGGAGGTGTCGTACCCTTTAGCTTCAGTCAAACTCCTGATAGGCCTAGTCATGGACTCGTTCGCAATTTTGATAAATCCATACGCAACCTCCTCTGGAGACATGGGTTTGTTGCCCTCCTCTGCGCATAATTCTTTATTAATCTCCTCGGTCAGCTCTTTAAATAATTTCTCGCTCGTAGACTCATCTAGAGCTTCGTCTTCACTCTTTCCAAAGATCTTCGGGAAGAATTCTGGCAGCAGTCGGCCGAGGAACAAGTTGGCATCCGTCACAGTCAGCGGACCGCCCTTCCGATAACAGGCAGGGCCAGGGTGAGCTCCAGCGGATTCGGGTCCAACTACAAACAGCCCATTTCTCCAGAACAACCGAGAGCCACCACCTGCTGCCACGGTATTAATATCCAATTGAGGGCTCTGGATGGTAATACCGGCAGTAGTAGTCTCAAATACATGCTCGTACCGCCCTGAGCCATATCTTGAAACATCTGTTGATGTTCCGCCCATATCAAACCCAATTACCGGTATCTTGGTTTCAGGGTCGTACGATGTCAGGGCATACCCGACTACGCCTCCAGCAGGGCCCGAAAGGATGGCTCTGAGGCCAGAGAACTTGCTAACATCAACCAAGCCTCCGTCACTCTGCATAAATTCGCACCTGGCCCCTTTACTGCCCCCTTTCCGCACGCTCTCTCTTCCAAGACCCCCGGCAAAACCTTTTTCAAAACCCAAAATATATCTCTTGATTTCCGGTGTCAAGTACGCGTCTGCGACAGCGCTTGTGGCTCGAGGAACCAACTTGATCATTGGCATCAATTGAGATGAAAGGCTAATATGCGAGAACCCAATCTCGGCAGCAATTTTGCCAACAATTTGCTCATGGTCTGGAAATGTGTAGGAGTGCATCAAACAAACAGCGATTGACCGGAATCCTTCATCGTATAGCCGTTGAAGATCCTTTCGGATGGAGTCCTCAGTAGGCCTTAAGAGAATACGGACCGCCTCACCAGATAGACCACGCACAAGGTCAGGGTCACCGGCCTTAGAAATATCTGTAATCTCGCGATCGGGGTGCTCAGCGTAGTCCTCAAGAGTGACTCGTTCGTTTATCTCAACGACTTGCTGGTAAAGAACCTCCGGTCTGCGGATGGCGAGATCGAAGATCTTTGGACGGGACTGATTTCCTGAAAAGATGCGGGTCAGCTTTATGCACGATCTGATCACCGGGGAAAAGGTGCTAACCGATGACCAGACAGTCCCTGAACCCATTGGTCGTGATCAATGCGCACTTCTCTCCCTTTCGTTCGAGTAGAGCATTTGTAGCCACCGTTGTCCCCATTCGTATTGATTCTGCAGAAACAGTGTTCAGTCCCTATCCAGACAGGCCGAGAGTGCAGTGGTTGACTTACCAATTTTCGAAGTGTCTAATGGGTCTCCACGCTTGATCTGCTCTCCGGTGAATTTCTCCATTAATCTCCTAATTCCTTCTAGCGGAGCATCGTCGTAATTGGCGGGATCCACGGAAAGAAGCTTGATAAGGACATCATCTTCAAGCTTGCCGGTACCTGGATTCCCAACACAATCCGTGAAAGTTCCGCCACGCTTCAGCAGCAAGGGGGTAAGTCAGCCACCGTACCAATTCCAAAAGCGTAAAAGGCCCCATGGGAGAACACAAACGTCAATAGCAATCCTAATTCCCTTCGACATCTCGACAACCGTATCCCGTCTTAATGTCTAAAACAAAAACCCCAGATGGAAACCCAGGAAAGTTTATAACGAAGCCTCCCTTCTAAAGAACTACCGATATGCAATGCAAACGTTTTTATGTGAGGGAACCCTTGAAATTAATCAAAAGCAAATACTGGAGTAGATAAAAAAAGAAGACTGAATGTTTGCTCGCCCGTTTCCCCGGAATCGAGTGAAGGAAGAAGAAAATGAAGGGAAGACCAGGCGGACACGTAAAAGAAATAAGTAACTTAAAGGGACAGGCAAATCCAAAGGGTCTACCGGTACTTTTACGAAATAGCCGATGAGAAATCGAGGAGAGTCTCAGGAGGGGCTCCTCCTCCCCCACCGCGAGAAATATGACGCCATCAATAAATACCGAGAAGGGGGCTTTTTTCTTTGGACCCTCCTCCTAGGCTCCCACTCTCTCTCTCCCACTCCTCGTTATCGATAAGGTAGAGGACGGATGAGGGGGCCTGGGGAGGGAGTTGGGATTGTGATGCTTGGCTTGAAACAGTTTTATCACGTGAAAGGATGTGCAAGTATCATAAACAAAAGACGTGTCTGTTGGTCTCCAAGGAATTACCCCCCCTTGTTGATGAATTCCCACCCCATCGATCTCCATTGGGAGAAGGCTGAGTTTTCGCTTCACGGCCAGCTGAGCGAGCAAAGAAAAGCCCGAGATGCTTGAGCTCGATCTGGAACTGATAGCTGCATAACCTGCCGTATTTCAGTCTGTGCTTCCGGACAGGGGGGGGCCTTCGGGTGCTGTACAGTACTCGTACAGTACCGTGGCCGGAGCCCGTGTCTTTGCCATACGGTACAGTGCCTAGAGCCTTGCTATGGCGGAGGGGAGAATCCTCTTGGTATTCACTTCAAGAAGCGCCTCATACTTTTTTCCAGGGCTTGCAGAACGGTTGTATTGCGTGTCGGGTGGCCTGATAATTTTGGCATCATTTTGGAATCTCTGAATGGACGATGGTGAGGGCTTTTGGATACTAATGCTGTGCGTCACCTGAGCTTTCTATGCGGTACCGTATTGCAACACAATGTTGTGGAGTGTCATATTTGATGTGGGGGTTTATGGAGCTCGAGTCGCACTCGAGTATTGTGGCTTACTCCTTCATTTGGGCTCAATATTTGAAATCAGTGGGGAGGGTTCTGCTTAGATATCACCAGGTTCCCTGCGCACGACGGATCGAGAGCAGGGATGCAATTTTGAGCCTTGGGGTGGGTATCAGTGTCACAGTGGTTATGAAAAGTAGGGAGTCCGTTCTGCCAGTACGGTACCGTAGAATGCTATATATGGCTTTCATTCCGAATTTTGTCATAGTATACCGAATATCCCTCCTGTGTCGTTCTTGCATGAATACCATCGCGTGGCTCATCGCTATATCTGCGATATCCAGCCCGAAATCCTAGACACCGCGCTAAGCGGGCGGACATCGAGCCGGGATGCCGGGGTGCCGGTATTCGGACATCTTACATTCCCGCTGCACCAGTACCGATTATCCAATCTCTCAATCTCCGATACCAGCGATCATAGTACGCTTCCGACCACTAGTTCCGTAGCCCCTGGGCGCCATGGTTATCATACGCACGATCAGGCGCATCCAAGATAAAGACACCTGACCCGTTCTCCACTAAAGACGTCCCCACATGAGACAAACAATCTCTCATCCTTCAAAACGCAAGCACCGGAATAATAACCTGCGGCTCGGCTTCTATCCGTCAAACCACAACGCGACGACGCGAGTCTTGGCGTCGAAACCCTAACCCCTCCAATCTCCTTGCTTCCTTTCTTTCCCTTCACCGCCTTCCACTGCCGTCATCAAAACAAACAAACCATTTTTACCAACTACCAACTACCATCGCCACAACTGCGAGCTTTCCACTACTTCCCACCACCACACTCATTATCCAACAAACGAAAAAAGGAAAGCACAAGTCAGAATGTCAACCGAAACGACAACTACCCGTCTGGCCACTCTAAAAGCGCAAGCCGCAAAATCCTACGCTCAGAAGGACTACTCCGCTGCCTCTGACTCTTACGCGCAAGCATGTGAACTCCAGTCTAGTATCAATGGGGACGATAACCCACAGAACGCGCACCTACTGTACTTGTACGGACGTTCGCTGTTCCAGGTTGCGTTGACCAAGAGCGATGTTTTGGGTGGGAAACCTGTGGAAGAGCAAGACGAGAAAGAGAAGAAGGGTGGAATAGCCAAGGGTAAGGGGAAGGATGTTAGTGAAGCTGGGGGGGAGGGAAATGATGAGAAGCTAAAAGCTCCGGCACCTGTAGTTGGTGCTAAGGGGGGGTTCTTTTCGTTTACGGGAGATGAGAATTGGGATGATTCTGAGGAGGAGGGTGAGGATGCAGATGCTGGGGGGGATGGGGACGTGGAGAAAGAAGGCGATGATGACTTTACACTCGCTTGGGAGATCTTGGACTTTGCGAGGGTGTTGTTTTTGAAGCAGCTCGGGTCTTCTAAAACCGCTGATGACCAGACCACCGGCACCAACGAAGTCGAACCCATCGTTCAGGAAACTACAACCGACACCTCCAATGATCCAATAACCTCAATTCCCAACCCTGACTCCGCACTCCCTGCCGCCTCCAGCGCCTCTACTTCCACTGAAACTAAACCCGACTTCAAGACCCTCAAAACCGCCCTGGCAGACACCTACGACCTCCTCGGCGAAGTCTCCCTAGAATCCGAGTCCTTCCCGCAAGCCACAAAGGACCTTCGCTCCTCTTTAGAGCTGAAACTTAAATTATACCCCCCCTCATCAACCCTAATTTCCGAAGCACACTTCAAACTCTCCCTCGCCCTAGAATTCGCTGCCGCAGGCGAGGGTGTTACTAACGACGACCGCCGCAAAGGGCGTGAAGAAGCGGCAGTGCAAATGGAGCTCGCGATAGCAAGCTGCCGCGCTAGGATTACTAAGGAGGAAGCAGAATTGAAAGAGCTTGGCACAGACGGAGATAAAGATGGCAAGGCAAAGAAGAGCCTTGAGGAAGCAAGGGAGATGGTGGGAGAGTTGGAAGTCAGGGTTTGTTCTCCCTTACTTCTGACTATCGTATCATAGCTAAAAATTGCATATGATAGCTTGCCGATCTACGCTCGGCTACACCATCGCCCACCCTAGCAGATGCTCAAGACGATGACCAACTCCGTGGAATCCTCGGCCAAGTCCTTGGTGAAGATCCTGAAGAAGCGAGGAAAAGGATTGCAGAGGTTGTTGGGCGTGCGAACGATCTCTCGGGGCTGGTTCGGAAGAAGCCTGCCTCCGCGTCTGCGGAGCCGGCGCCTGCTACGGCGGGGGCGAGTACGGTCATTGTGCCAATTAACGGTGGGAAGAGGAAGTTGGAAGATGTAGTCGAGGAGGAACCCGTCGAAGAACTTGAAATACCAAAGAAGGTGAAGTTGCAGGATGAGGCTAAGCCTGAAGCTGAGGCGGAAGAGAAGGTTGAAGGTGAGGGCGATGTGAAGCCTTAGTCTGAAAAGTCCCTTTGCCTTGTAGTTTTAGTTTTACGGGTGGGTGGATACGGTTTTTATACTCTTTTTTAACTTTTTCTTCTTTCTTTTTCTTTGGTTTACCCTTTCCCAAGGCTACCGGTATTCACATTGCTTCCGTGTGTTCGAGGTTGTGTGGGTGGGGTTAATTCGCTGGACTGGGGGATTGGAAGTGAGGGAGCGAAAAACGTGTCTTGCTGGATGGGATGTACGTTAGGCTTTTCGATAGTGGAACCTGGGTTAGTGCCGTGCTCTCTTATGTTAGTGTGTGTGATGGTACTCGTGACCGGCTGGGCGAAAGTGATGAGAACGGATTTACTCGAGTAAGGTGGGGTTCTATTCGAAGGATAGCAAGAAATAGATTAATGGGTTCTAAGTTAGATGTGCGGATTTATTGGGCACGTTAATTGATCCTGGGCCGGGGCTGACGGCTCCTCGAACACCGTCGTACCGGTACCCGAACTTCAATTTTGACCGCAGTCTTGGCGGGGGCGAATACGATAATTGGCCTACCGTACGATATTTACTCTCTACGAGTACGAGTAGATCCACTATCGCTGATCTCAGCAATCAGAGACAAAACACCCTGAGAAGGAATGGTGTTTTCCAGAAAAGGCACAGCTCGGGCGGGCCACACCTGGCAATGACTGTAACTGCTATCCGCAATTCTGTTAACCTATATACTCTCCTAAGCCTCCTGTGGCTTAGTAAAAGTACAAGTATGGTAATTCTAGTTGCGCATACCGTTACCTACAAGCGAGCCAGGCCCCCGATCCCCGATAGTGGATCTACGGTAGAGTGTACTGTACTCGAGTACAGTAAATATGGTACTCGAGTACCAGGTATGATACCAGGTATGATACTGTATTTGTAGGCTCAATGGGTTAGGTTGGCACACCGGTATATTTGCAAAACTACTATTTCCCACATCATTTGCGATAAACCACTAACCAATCCTATTCAGTGGAACTCTAAGCTACAAAAAAAAGCTACAACTATCCTTGACAATCCATCTCTATCCCCCCCCCTACCGCCCCCACCTACATATTGGCCTTCCTCGCAATCTCCAACGCCTTCTCCAACCTCTGAATCCTATAATTGACATCCGTCCTGCGCACACTGGTCTCGTAATCATCCGCCACGAGTGCCGCCAATTCCCCCTCTCCAAGCGCGCTAACCTGCTCACTACAGAAGCACTTAACAGACCCCTCCCGACCAAGCAGATACCTCTCAACAACCTGGTTGACGACATTATCCGCAAATCTCTTAATTGCGATAGAGTAGTAGCATTTGAGGATATCGTGAATCTCGTAGACTGCCTGATCCTCAATACTCAGGTTCGCGTTCTCGGCCAGAGCACGAACATTGGCGTGGTAAGCATTATCGATAAGGCCATGACTGCGCAGGCGTGCTTCTAGTCGCTGCAGGCGTGTACTCTGGAGTGTTGTTGGGAAGGTAGAGTTTATAGTTTGCAAAGTTGAAGTCAACTCATCCGCCAATATTGTCTCGAGCTGCGACTCAGCTGCCGAAATAGAGGATTCGATCATGGGGTTCACTTTCGCAAGGATCCTGGGCAAGATTGATTCGTCCTCGATTTTCAACTCGTACAGTGCGGTGCTAAATTTCCTAACGATATTCGCCGTGGTGGCAAGGTGCGATTCGGAGATGGTGTTCCAGGCGGAGCACTGCTGGCGGAAGAGCGACTTGACGGCTTCCGGGTTTACCGTTCCAGGGAGGCACGCGCCGCGGGCTTCCCGGTACCAGTTGCGGATCCAGGTGTATATCGGCTCCGGCTCCGCGCCCCCGGCCCTGCTGTGATTAAATTCATCGTCGAGCTTGTCGTCGACCGCCCGGAAGGGCATGAGGTACCCCTCCTTTTTCAGCGTTCTGGCGAATCGCTCATTGGCGTTGAATATGTGCATTCGGAGTTTCAACGGATCGTCGCTAGGTAAGCCGGGATCGTAGGTACCCGCCAGCGCGCGGTCCACCGCTGCCTCATACCGGTTCACAATCTTTGTCAGGTAAACCCGCTGTTCGGTCGGTGTCTGCCGCGCTGGCCCAAACTCGGCCAGCTGGACCCTGCTCTCCTGAAGCTTCCCTGAGATTTCCTCCACCAAGGTCGGGAATTCCTCGCGGATGTGCTCGTACAAGAGTTTTCCCAGGAAGGATTTCAATGGCTTGATCCCGACCCGGTTGCGCTCGAGTTCGCACCAAGGGCTAGTCTTGAAGAATTTTTCCTCATTCAGGTGGCGCTCTTCTATGGTTACGCCGTGTTTGAGGTCCCTTGCTGAACGGTTCTTGACCGCGAACCAGCCATGTTTCAAGTTCTCAACTTCGTTTTGGAGGATGCGCAGGATCTGCCGGCTGATCCGATTAGACGGTGGGGGACTCACGGCCGTTGGGGGAGGGGGAGAACTTACACTACCTTCTTCACCGGGTTGGAGAGCATCGCATTTTGTTACCACTCCCACGGTTCTGGAACCGGTTGGATCTGCCGCCCGGGCCATTCTGAATACCTCCTGATTGGCAAGGTTATTTCGTCCGTCCATGACCGCCCTAACCCCTTCGTCAATACTTGCTCACTCTCTCTCCATACATAGTAACTAAACCTAATGGATGAACTCACATAATAATAGTTCTCCGATCAGTTATATAGCTCTCGATTAGATCCCTAATAATCTCCGAATCCTCCCTGGTCTGGTACTTGGTCGGATTATGAAACAAACCCGGGACATCCACAACGCTAAGGTGAGGATGATCCGGCCCAGACAACTCCACTCTAAGCACATGGTTCGAGAACCTCTTCTCCAGATCATCGATATCCTCAGTACCGGGTTTCGGCAACCCCATGCGCTCCGCCGCGTCGCTGAGGAGTGCGGAGAACTGGTCGACCCCGAAATCACTGTTGTCGGCGGTGTGCCTGAAGGCGGCGAGGTAGGCGCGCTGTGCCTCGTTACCCTGGGCCTCGGGGCCCGGAATGATGGAGACTTTCACGCGGGATTGCTCGGAGGGCGCGCGGCGCAGGACTATTTGCGTTGCGAAGCGCGTACATAGGTCGCTGGCTATTGGGAAGGCAAGCCCTGTCAGGCCTTCAAGCAGGGAGGACTTGCCCGAGGATTGGTCGCCGACTACTACTAGCTGTTGGTTTTTTATTCATACCTAGGTTAACATTGTTGGATCGGTTGGGGGAGGGGGCTGGGAGGGAGTGGTACCTGCGGTAGCGGGATGTCATCGCTGATCCCCAACTCCCTCAACGAGTCTATGATACTTAGTAATTTGACACGATCCTCGCTGTCGAAGCTTCCCATGTTCTTCGGCCACTTCATGTTTCGGGCTTTTCCTTTTTCCTGCGGGGGGGTTGGAGCCAGTGGTGCTGGTGGTGCTGGTGGTGCTAATAGTGGTAATAGAGACAATGGAGGAGGGGAGGGAGGAGGAGGAGGAGAGGGGGATGATGGCGGTAATGACGGCGAAGCGGACGCAAGTGCCTTGCGGACTACTGAGAGCGCTGAGGACAGAATCTTGGCTGCTTTGGTGGGTGATAGAGATTCGATGTTGCTGGTGGGGCGGGGATTGGGGGAGGGATAAGGATTATATATATGCCTCCTTCGCTCGTTTATCAGATTCTATTCGTTAAATTTTATTTATTTAGGCCTGTAGCCTTAGTCTACCGGTGCCTATTAGCTAGCCACTCACAAATTGCAAAGGGATGGGCTATCAACCTCAACTTGAAATTCAGTTTGGACCCCAGTACCCCACCTCCATAAGGGTAAAAACATGTTGCGGCGAGCAACAGAAGCGGAATACTAGCATCTAGTTTTGCACAATTATTTAGGCACCTAATGTACAGCACAGTCCTGTCCTGTGCTCTACTCAGGCCCCCAGAAACAGCCCCAGCTATAGCCAGGCCTCCCGCATATCATACATACAAACGAGCATAGACAGGAAGAAAACGGTTCGAGTTCCCGAGTGAGACGGAGGGCTCGCCCCCGCAACGGGCCGCGTTCCGGGTGCGTACATTTCTCATAGTGAATGTTCAATGTATGTACTGTACAGTACAGTACCATCCTTGTATATGCACGTTTGAGTCCCGAAGTGCAGGTTTCAGGCACCATTGCATGAGTGGCGCTACTACCCGCCTAATTAACAACACCGTTGCTATTAAAATCGCAGGGTATGAATGGTAGCCGAAGGAGTGATATATTAAAGTAGGATATGCGATTGTAGTTTAGAGATTCCTTGTGATCTTTCCCGGAGTCAACGGTAAGTGTTATGGGGGGAGACGCGTCCAAGGCTCGAAATAAAAAAATTTAAGTGCGATATAGCTCAACCTTAAGGTAACAATACTGTGCATGGAGGGGTTGAGGGGCGGTTGCGGATTCTGTGGTTTGTTGTGTCGTACGGTTAACTCATTGATAACTCATTGATTTCTTGACATGGTTTGTTAGGGAGGCTGCAAACGGTATGATAGCTTGTCAACCCGCAAGGAGGCGAAAGGTTCTACAAGTGATACGACAGCAGGCATAGGTCAATGATTCTGCTTCGTGTTAAGGTGAGGTTATCTGCTGCCGTTACAACACTGACATGAAAGATTTTACCGAACCGCGCGCGGTACCGCACCATCATACCCCGAAAGTAGTTGGGTAATTTTCTAGGTTCCATCTTGTTTTTTTTTTCCCAAGCTAGAGTGCTTACATCCTACCCCCTGGGCCTTCTCTACGGTACGTAGCGAGTTCTTAGCCAGCTTGCTAGAAAATAATATAAAACCAGCGACAATCTACCCGCGCCCGCGCTCGCTCTGCTGAATCCCGTTAAAACTTTAAAATCATCTCTGTAAACTTAGAGATCGGCACTTTGGAGTCGAGAGAGGGGGAAAAAAAAGATACCTATTCTACCCGCAGCTCTTGCTGTACCTTTCCCCCATAGAGGTTTTTTTTTTTTTTTTTTTTTTTTGGCAAATGGGACTTTTTGTCCTAGCGTTATTCTGCAGGTTTTCTTGGAAGACTCGGGGTCCGATGTGGGTTTGGTCATAGCGGGTGCTGCATAGCTATCCGTAATTTTCATTCTGCACCAAGTGGTGATTTAGTTTAGGAGATGCCCCCCCCATTTCTCTCCCTTTTGTTGGGATGGAGTTCCGAGTCTCGATAGCTCGGGAATTGGGTTGTAGAGGCTGAATACAAGTCTACCCTTTTACCCCCTTGTGAGGTGGAGGGAGATGGCAAGGTTTGGCGTGCGCTCTCGTTGCTGAGTGTAACATCTGTTATTTGCGAAATCAGTTTCGACGAAAGCTTTAGGACACTAAGCCAGGCGGTTACGTGTTTGGCTTGATGATAATGGGAGATGGAGAGCCCATGTGCTCCCCGGTCTGCTGAACCTGGGGTGTCACAGCAGGATAGGGAGAACACTCTATGCTCCAAATTGAGACAGATAGGATCAAGCCGCATATCCGTCCACAACCGGGAAATTTTAACAGCTTTATCAATTTGCTTTCTTCTTCCCAAGCCTTCGCAGGGAATCTAGTTCCGGTCGAACGTCACAACCGCTCACTCGGTGATAACTACACGATCGTTTGAAAAGATTTCCTAACATCCGGGACCAGTCCATGTCTTCCATTCCTTGTTCCTTGTCCCTTAGCCATGGCCAATTACCTGTCCTTGCTATCTTTCGGAGGTATGGAGTTATCAAGGTGGGTATGATAGATGCAATGATTCGTTGGGGTAATTTGGGTATTCTTTTTTTTTTTCACAAACACCCCGGAAGAGGGCTATCACGGTGCGGGAACGGCGGAGGCATCACTCTCAATGGTTTGTGTTTGATGTGTCCTTTTTAGCCGCTCTTGTTGGAAAGGGTAGGCTGACAGCCTTTCTATATTAGAAGCGGTTTGTTTCTCCCTATCGTGCTTTGCAAACGCCGCCACTATATAGTTCTCGTGACTTGAGTTTGTGTATCTTGGAAAAAATGAGGAGTCCGGTGGTGATGCTATTTTTTCTGCTATAGTATGAGATTGAGATTGCCTTGCCCGAAAATGAGGCTCTTTGGTCCGAGTATCGCTCTCACACTCATTTCGCTGCAAGCCCGATAATATGGGTTCACGGAAATACAGATACAGCAAACTGATCCCATCCATTACCAAAGCCTATCATCAAAGTGAGATAGGCTAGAGCTTCACTCTTAGTAGCTATCGAATAATGACGAGGCGGGGGGACTCTTTACTTTGTACTATACTGCAAACACACACCGAGGCTTTAAACTTCTCCTAATCTTATAGTGCCTTGCGCCCAACGTGTACACCGTGGCCGATGCAGCGCGTAACACTAAACCCTCTAAGAGAATAGCACTGTACCATAAACACTAAACTTTTAAATTATCCCATATTCTGTTCTCATGTTATACTTATAGGTTAGGATGTTTAATATAATACTAAATATACTGAAAGTATATATACAGTATATATCTCATGGGAATAACTAACTACTTTATTCTGTGACATGTCATAATGTTATCCCACATAGAGAAAATTTAATGAAAATGTTTAAATAATAGTTATCCTTGTTCCAACTCGATACTACTTGTGGCAATATAGGGATGGGATTTGTATCTTTACTGAAGAAGATTTTCCTGTAGCTGGTATAGTATTATTATTCAAACTAGCTGATAACTTCGCCAACTAGATTCTCTCTCTTCTAGCACGTCTCCGGAGTGTTGATCGATTAGCTGGTAGAGGAGGCATTGGTCCTGATCTGGCAGGGCTTGATATATGAGCAGAATCTGATTCTCAAAGAGAATGTTCTTCCATTATACAGTATAGCTGAATAGAAGACAGAACTGGTTTAGAAATAGGGTAGTTTATACTGTAGAGTAATATATTTTAGACACCAATATTAAAATACTGAGAATATAGAGTGATTGTAAGAATAATTTATAGGAAAGTTAAATTAAATTGGATTTGGGGTTTAGTACTAACTTTAGTTACTTAAAGGGTTGAGTGTTATGATACACGTTGCATCGGCCACGGTGTACGTTTTGGAAACAAGGCACCAATTTTCCCTTCCACCCTTCACCTCACAAACTGTGCTTCCCTATCAGTTTCCCGTAGATTTTCATCATTGACCCTCTCCTTCCCTTCTTCTTCCCGACTCTCTCTACCCTTCCTATTCCCCCCCCCACAATTTTACCTCCCCCTTCACTCTTGCCTATAAGTAAGTCCTCTCCATACAAACTTCCCCCAACAATCTTCATCCTCCATCATCTCCACCTTCCCTCAGCAACCTCTCCTAAAGTCAAGCTGATCCTCTAGGATCTTCCATCACATACCTACCATAATGGATTCGACCATCCCGTCCTTCGATGACATCTTCACCAAAGCAATGGCTACCTCGAGCGCTCCTTACCCCGACTTTACCGCAAAGTACGAAATGTCCCTCGCAGCAATCTTTGCCGATTTTCCGGAGAAACCGAAAGACCTCGACGAAGTTGCTCAAATCCTCGAGAAGACTGCAAAAATGATACTCGATGCAACCGATTCCTCCACCCTCATCCACGGAGTCGAGACTTACAAGAATATTGCCCACAGATGTTTTAGCTGTATCAAGGGGTTGACGGATAATTTGAACCTTGGTGCAAATGAGATCAGGGATTGTTGGGCTAGGGCTTCACGCTTCGAACGAGAAGCCGATGAAAAAGGACAAAAACTTCAAACTGCAGAACAGACAATCGGTTACCAGGTCAAACACATTTCTACTATTACAAAAGCTTGCATGACCCAAGAAAAGCTGCTAGAGGAGTGCATGTCTGAGCGTGAGCATGGGAAGAACAATTATCGCTGGCTGACTGAATTGCGGGATCTGTATACCAAACTGGAGTCGAGCCACAAGCAGTGTGAGGAGCGATTCCAGGCACTAGGGGGAATGTTGAAGGACAACGAGGAGCTCAAGAAAGAGGTACAAGAATTGAAAATTGAAAACGCTCGGCTCGCAGTTGAGAATTACACTCATGAGTCTGCCGCTGATTTCAAGAAAACTTTTACCAACCAAAAGCCCCTAGAGCCCTACCCAAAGGCTTACTCAGTCAATGGCGATTTCCCCGGACATCTCTCGATTGTCGAGACTGTTGGCCCAGCTGGGTCTGTTGAAGCATTGCTGTCGATGACCATTGGGCTCAAGAGAAAGGAGGCAAATTTGCCAGGGCAAGATAGACTGAGGAGAAAATGGAAGAACGGAACGGGCAGTCCCTCGTTCCAGGCACCAACGGAGGCAAGCAGTATGTATAGGGTAGTTTCGGGGGCGAGCTCAAGGAGTGCCGATGATACCGCTGGGGTTTCCCACAAGAT